GGCCGGTCAAGATTCGTCCGATATTAGTAAGCTTCTCTAAGATGAATAAATAACGAAACAGCTCAGTCTTGTAGTAGCTTGCAAGCCGCTAATGGGTTGCGATATGCGCAACTTTTGAAGAGTAGATGGGCTAGTAGGTGGCGCCACCGTTGTTGTAAGCAATGAAACAGCCGTTAGTTTTAAATGGATACTGAACGATGAAATTTTTACATAGCATAATTTTAACTGAAAATTGCAAGGCATCTAGGGTCATATGTGTCCCTTTTACAGTGGCAATGCATATGAGGAGCTACGTTTTGTAGCCACATCATCCCACTTAACTGTTTGCCGTTTACCCGGCCGACTTCACTGTTTGAACCGTCGTTGGTCTCGTTGTGTGTGTGTGTGGCATCATTGTAGCATCATAGCTCATAACGCTGATTGATCATAGAGTACGTCATGAGTGGCAGGCAGCATCTGTGCTCATGCCACCAGCATGTTTGTCGGTCGTTTTTCCCATATATCTGATTTCATTCGTTAGTTTCGGAGTAGTTTCGGTGATTGCGATACTGGCTCAAGCAACTCTATAAGGAGTGCATATTTTTGTATCATTGCTGTGGTTATTGTTGCACGAAGGGTCGATGTCGTATCAGGTACTACATATATATGTACCCGAGGTAGTTTTAGTGTTGTTTAGCTATTATGTTTATATTTTTTATATGAGCGTATGTTTAGGGTTAGGGTTAGGGCTTACACGTTCTGTAGTACAGAAGTCTGGGTACACTTTGTGTATACATATATGTACCTCGGGTCATACTATGTAGTACCTGATACAGAGGGCGGGATCCAGGAAGCGAGGGGTTTTTTTTGAAAAGGTGGTGTTCCAGAGAAATAAAGGGTCACTTTTTCTGCTTATCTTTTTTCTGCAGTGTTTTAAAAAGCTGCAGATAGCCACTTAGGGCGGGGTTTGGGGGACCTCCCCAAGATTAAAAAAAAATTGGTGCAGTCTGGATGAGCATCTGCAACAGTACATTTTTGCATGTCTAGAACTGCAAAATTTTTTTATTTTTGTATCAGAATCCGGTCCCCCGGACGCCTGCGGACCCCTCTTGCCCATTTCTAGTTTTTATAACGAGATTTACATATATATTAAGTAAATCTTTATCAGAAAAACTAGCGGCTAAAACAAGATTTTTTTATGGAGACAAATAAGCAGAAGTGTGGTGTGTTGTGTGTTGGTGCTGCGTTGCTTGCGTGTGCGTTGTGCGTTGTGTGTGTGCGTGTGCGTGTGGCAGCGATTGTGTGCGTGTGTGTATGCTTTTTTTCCTTTTTTTGTGGTAAAAAGGGGGGGGGTCAGGACCCCCTCGACCCCCCCCTCTGGATCCGCCCCTGTGATACGACAACGACCCCTTCAGCGTTATTGTTACCATGGCAACCAATTTCCCTACAGTGCAGGTTGTGTAAGCCAAACCTCATGCTTGCAGGCACTACGGTATAAATAGAAATACTTCACACCTAACATTTTCATAATTCTATCACATTCTATTGCTTACGTACTCATCATATTGCATGGTGTTATTCTGTTTAAACTTCTGATTTTATTTCTGCTAGTATCAGATTTGTAAAACAGGCCAAGGTGGTTGTAAAAATGTCACCTAAATTGTTTGTATCACTTGCTAAACTGATTTAGAAGGGTTTCATATAGCAATGACCAGTGTTGTAACATTAAAAAACAAGTCAAGTCACTGACTCGGACTCGAGTCACATTTTCTGGTGACTTGACTTGACTCGAGTCGGGAACCCAAAATGACTTGACTTGACTTGAGTCACCACTGAAAATGACTTGACTTGACTCTGACTCGACCGTTATGACTTGACTCGAGTCAATATGACTCGAGTCGTGCCCAGAGACTCGAGTCAAAGCACAGGACTTGAGTCACAGTTTGATGACTCGAGTGCTTCTAAGTTATAGCTAGTGCATGCTAATGCTAGCACTAGCGAAACTCGGACCGCAAGATTAATTACATCAAGAGTCCATGATAGAAATTAGCTAAAAATCATGACAAATACTATTACAGATTAAACAATATTTTATTACTTGTTAAATTTTAAAATATGTTGTTATATTTTATAAACTTGTTTGTTTATAAAATTTATTTATTAAGTTTAATCTGTTTTTTCAAATGTTTTGTTTTTACATTTTGATGGACGAGGACATGGGCTAGCTATACATGTTTGTTTTTCATCGCATGCGCTGGCTCCAGCAGTTCATGCGCGTGCGATATGGTGACCGCGCGCGATATGGTGTCAGTGAGTGTACGACGTACGTACATGTACGTCAAGAGTGGATAATAGAGAAGAGTATGTCAGGGTTTTAACAGCGTTTTGCATAGTTTTGAACTGGTAACTAATCTATCAATATGTGAATAAATATATTCAAACTTTACCTTGTTTTCGTCTATGATTCTCCCTTATTCATATGACACCACCAATTTACCTGAAAATCTGCCTCTGCCCATCTCTGGCCTGCCTCTGCCTGCCTCTGTCTGCCCCTGCCCATCTCTGTCCGCCCCTGCCCATCTCTGACCTGCCTCTGTCTGCCCCTGTCCGCCTCTGCCCATCTCTGACCTGCCTCTGTGTGCCCCTGTCTGCCTCTGTCCGCCTCTGCCCATCTCTGTCTGCCCCTGCCCATCTCTGACCTGCCTCTGTCTGCCCCTGCCTCTGCCCATCTCTGACCTGCCTCTGTCTGCCTCTGCCTGCCTCTGTCCGCCCCTGCCCATCTCTGACCTGCCTCTGTCCGCCTCTGCCCATCTCTGTCTGCCTCTGTCTGTCTCTGGTTTGCATCTATCTGCGGTTGCGCGTGTCATAGTCGTGCAGTCATCGCCCTCGCGTGAGCCAACTTCATGAATGCAGGGTTCCTGCGAGTTTGGCACTTATCGTGTTTCCTACACATTTGGTTAGATTGCCGGCCGCTTTACACGCGTGCGATGACCTCTGCTCGTTTTACGCTCGTTTTCGTCATGATCTTGATCGTTATGTCCACACAGACCTGCTTCCAGAAGGTGCTTGACTCACGTTGTTCGTTACGTTATCTATGTTGTTGTGCGCAGGTCTGCTTTAAGAAGATCGTGGGTAATGCGAGCCTCGGGCAGGTGTCGATCTTTCTTTCGATGCTCGGTGTCTTCGACGTGCTCGTCATGTGGCCGATCATGCTGGCGCTCTACCTCACCAAGGTCGAGGTCTACGACTGGCACAACTTACCGTGGATGTACCTGGGTGGCAGCGCTGCGCTGGGACTAGGTCTGTAGTGGGCGTCTAGTGATTAGTAGTGGAGCGCGTCTGTGTGGGTGACGCGATGTGCACACACGTGCACTTGATCAATTGATAAACTTTTTAATTTGACTGCTAGTACCATACTTAGACGTTCGCGTACGTGAGTACGAGGCTATAGGATTGCATATTGAGCCACGTGAGATGGGTATTGGTCACAAATACGCGACAGAATAAGACTAGGTAATCTCGTTACATGCGAGCAGACAAATCTAAAGCTTTGAAGAGAATCTCAGCTTTGCAGCACGTGATATGCGTATATGATATATCATTGATGAGCGCACGTAAGTGATGCAGCAGCTGAATCTGTTGTGTTGCAAAGTTAATATTTTGTCGTGTAATAATAATTCCGTGTATTTGTGTTGCAGTATTCAACTTCCTGGTGAATTTCGGCATTGCGTTTACCTACCCGCTTTTTATTTCGATCGGCATCATGATGGGTATTCCCGTTAATGCAGGTGAGTAAGAAACTTGTTGACCGACAGTAGCAGATAAGTATGAACAGCAGACATAGCAGTAATGAACAGTGCGGTGTGTAATAAAGATGGATGTGACAGCGGAGTATTGCTTACGGTAAATAATCGCGTGCTCGCACCTGTGATGCTGCTATTCACTTGATTATCATCAGGTCGTAGATGGCAGTGTTTCACGAAAAGACTGCACCACGCAATATCAAATGGATTTATTATCGTAGGTGAATCAATTATTGTATCTCCCGCGACGAAGTCGGCGGGGATACTATGGTTTCATCTCTGTCCAGCCGCCGCCGCCGCCGCAGACACTTTCCCGTTCCGCTCTATAACTCGACTCCTAATTGACCTAGCGTGACCAAACATAGTCTACTTACACATCTTGGGGAGAAGGTGCGCAGCGTACCAAAACCAGGTCACTACGAC